ACAGACCTATCTCGAAGCTTCCTTTTTATCTCAAAATTTTAGAGAAGACTATAGTTCTACAGCTGCAGTCTTTTTTTTAGATGTACATGGTATTTTTGAGATTTTTCAATCTGGTTTTAAAGTATTTCACAGCACTGAAACTGCACTTTTAAGTTTTTAATGACCTATTACCACTAACTCTGGTAGTTCTGCCATCTAGTGCTTTTAGACCTCACCGCCGCATTTGACATAGTAGACCATGCGGTTCTTATCTCTCGTCTAGAGCACTGTGTTGGCATCAGGACACTGCTTTGCAGTGGTTTAAGTCCTATTTCTCTGGGAGATGATTTTCAGTAAAGCTTGGGGACTCATCTACTGCAACCCTTCTTTGTGGTGTTCCACAGGCTCAATTCTTGGACCACTTCTCTTTTTCCCTGTATCTCCTCCCCTAGGAACATAATTAGAAAGCATGGCGTCTCCTACCACTTCTTGCGGACGACTCCCAAATATCGCCCCTCAAAAGTGGTGGAAACTCCCTCGTACCTCTACTAAGTGTTTAAAGATTATAATGCCTGGATGGCTTCCTAACTTTTTTAATCTAAATGAAGATAAAACTGAGGCCATTGTGTTTAGACCCGTCGGGCCGGTGATATCCTTTCTGTTGACCTGGGCTACCTGCACAATATGTGAAACCCGTGGCGACAAATCTGGGTGTGAAAATAGACAATGGTTTTAAACTTGATAAATAGATAAATAATGTTGTTAAATCCATTTTTATCACCTGAGGCTTTTATCTAAAATCAAACTTGTTTTATCTCGTAAGCACTTTGAACATGTGATTCATGCTTTTATCTCAACTCGTCTACTCGGACTACTGTAATGCACTTTACATTAGAGTTAACCAAACCTCTCTTTCAAGCTTACAGTTAGTACAAAACTCGGCCGCTCGTCTTTTAACTGGAACTCGCAAGCATGAACACATTACACCAGTGCTGGCCTCGCTTCACTGGCTCCTGGTCCATTTTAGAATACATTTTAAGATCTTATAGTTTGTTTTTAAATCACTGACCGGGTTGGCACCTCACTACATCTCAGACCTCTTACAAGTCTACACCCCGCCATGGTCACTTAGATCTACTGACCAACCTCAGCTGGTCGCTCCAAAAACTAGGTTAAAAACCAGGGTGACCGTGCTTTTTCAGCAGCAGCCCCTAAACTGTGGAAATGGTCAAATTGGCCCGACCCTCGAATGTTTTAAATCCTGTCTCAAAACCCACTTGTATTCCCTGGCTTTTAATCCAGCATGAGAGCTGTGTAGTATTGTTGTTTTATGTGTTTCTATATATTTATATGAGTTTTTGTTTTATTTCTTGTTCAGCACTTTGTAAACCTTTGCTTTTTAAATGTGCTATATAAATAAAATGGATTGGAATACTACAAACTATATATTTTAACTGGTAAAAAGGTGGATTGGCTGGCACAGAGCAAGCAAAATTAATGTCATGAGTATAATTGCAAGAAAGACACTTCCTTTATTTATTTATAGCCTAACCCAGCAGTGAATCATGTCAATTAAAACTACAGTCTGTTTTCCAAACAAGGATATTAAACATAGGCCTTCCAAACACAAATTTCATCGGTAAACAATAGGCTAATTTTATTGCCTATAATAACGTTTTGTCAGGCCTGATAAACTTCAACTGTGATTATTCCATTACAAGAAAAAATGTTTCACAAAGACATACCTTACCACGGACATGAAGTGATGCTTATTTGCATGTTATGACTGTTTGATACAGGTAAACCAGCTATAGATGTATAGATACTGGGCATTACAACTTTAACATGCTGTGCACGCTCCCGCGGAGGACAATCAGTTTTTGGTGGGTGATCACTTTTCGGCACGACGCCTGTCGCTTCCTCCTGCGCATGTTGTGATTAAGATTGTGCCCGAAGTGGAGGGGCTGTTCACAGACAGGTCCGTTGTCATTGAGAGAGAGAGAAGAAAGTAATGGACACTTTGCTAACCTCTGCACTGACGTTCCGCATGCAAGTATAGGCTAAGTTGTCAAGAGAATACTCTCAGAATGTTGTGGTTTGTGGGAAAACGGTGCACATTGGTCCGACTTTCTACGACCTGACCCAACCCAACTAGACACATCAAACTCTAAAGACTCCATCCGACTGACACTGACAGCGCACACTGATCCAATAGTTGGAGTTGGTCGGCATTTGTCGGGACAGTGTGCAAGCAGCTTAAGGCTACCGCTATTGGGTTAGAGGAGAAGCAGGATGAGTCAAAGCTTCACTGGACCTGTATGGTACCATCAAGTCCAGAGCCAACACAATAAACCAACCAGTGCCCTGCAGCTATACAAGCGCAGACAAAGGTAACGCACTGTAAGAGTACAGCTGCGGACAGGGCAGGGCTAATGCAAGCAGCAGCTCTCACCTCACCGTCCAGTGAGAAGGAGACTCACTGCACACTCACAGAGGTGTGTCATTCAGACAGAACAGTCAGTACTGAAGACTGTGAGGGAAATCACTCTGGACCTGAAAGAGCTGGTGATGCTCTTGGGCATAAAGGCAGGATTAGGACACAGGACAGCCGAACTGCAGTCACCTTGGATCCTAAGACATGAAGGGGCCACAGAGAGGGCAGCCAGATCGCTTACCCTCTCTGCCGATGTCAGAGCCAATAGCAAGGCAACCTTGGCTGAAAGGAATTTCAGGTCCGTATTCTCCAAAGGCTCGAAAGGGGCTTTAGACAGAGCGCATAAAACCAGTGCCAAATCCCACTGAGGAGCTGCAGGGTGTTACACAGGTCTGTGTCCCCGCACCCCTTTCAGGAAATGCTTCACAAGTGGGTGAACGAGTACCGTCTGACTGGATGAGATGGCGGCAGCCCTCTATCCATCAGCAGCTGGAGGAATGAGAGCACACCAGGCAGCGAGCATGTCACCGGATCCAGCCATGGTCCAGACCAGAGTTGGAACGCTGACCACTTGGCAGAATACGAAGACCGAGTGGAGGCGGCTCTCAAACCCTGGATGGTGCACACCACCTCCTGTGAAAGACCCAAACCCTCCAAGTGCAGCCTCTCAGCAGATAGACATATAGGGGCCGACCCGACAGCAGGACTGGGCCACAGAGGCTGCGCAAAGGCGTCCACCCTTCATGGGGGGGCATCCTGCGAGCTCATTGAGAACCACAGGGCTCACTGAGCGTTTTCTTGGTTGGCAAACAGGTCCACTTCTGCCATGCCAAACCTGTGCCAGATCTGGATCTTACCACGGACATAAAGTGATGCTTATTTGCATGTTATGACTGACCACTACAGGCTGTGAGACGACACTGCGATGAGCCTGAACATCTGCGCAGCAGCAGGTCGTCCAAATAGAACAAGACCCTGATACCCTCCCATTGCAACAGCTCCAGAGCCCTCTAAACACACTTGGAGAAAGTGCACGGGGCCAGTGAGCGCCCTGGAAGGAGAAGCACAGGAACTTTCTGTGTTCCGGGACGACGGGAACATGAAAGTATGCGTCCTAAAGGTCGATAGAGGTGAGCCAGTCCCCCTGGCACACACACAACAGCTGTTTTATTGTCAACATGCACAAAGGTCTGTATAATTGCTCTGTTAAATAACGACAGATCGAGGATGGGCCTTATTCCCCCCACGATTTCTTCCTAACCAGGAATGAACGAGAGTTACCCCCAGAGAATGCTGGCCAGTTCCTGGGCTGGGGGAACGGCCAGCTGTGTCAAGGCCATTGTCCACCGGAAGTTGAAACGGGGGGATCGGGGAGCTGCTGGTGGACCCGCGGATGTAAGGAGCTGAGTCATCTGACAACTGCTCCATCAGATCAACTTCAAGTGTGTGGGCTCCCACACCTCTTCATCCTGTTGCTGATTCTTCTCGGGAGAGAGGTGGGCACTGTATGGACAACGCAAGCCGGGGGTGAGCACACGGCCATCATGTTCCAGCTCGAGGCATGCCTTGCATCAGGGATGGAGGTCCATCAGCAGGGTGAATGCTGTTTCGCAGACGCCGCACACCCGCATGGATGCTCTGGCATCTCGCACATATTCACAATGTGACAACGTGATAGAGGCCCACATTGCGGGTGGGCGTAGACAAAGCTTTTTTCAGTGCTGCACATGCTCACAAAGGGGTAAACCCAATAGCAATAGCCTTAGAGGGTGAAGCCTTTATGAAATAGAACAAAACAATTCATCAGACAAAACAAAAACATCAGATGCTATACTGTAACAAACGTATACAGTATATTAAACATGTACTTGTTGGTGCTGTGGTAACTGTTGTGTTCACATCTGTTGTAGCTGTTTTTGTTGAATCTGGAAAGAAAAATGTTTAATTTTGTGTATTTAACTGAGAAGTAACATCTGATAGACATCTTTTTTTATAATTTATTTGTAAATTTACTTGATACAATTGATGGTTTTGTGGTAACTGTTGTGTTCAGACCTGTTGTAGCAACTGCTGTTAAAAAATGAAAAAATTACAATTTTGTGTGTTTAACTGAGATGTAACATCTGATAAAGAAAATAAATTGTAGAAAAACTTATTTTATTATTATTATTTTAAAGCACTAACTTGTTATAATTGCTGTTAGAGTTGCAGCTGTTGTAGTGTTTATACCTGTAAAAATGTTAAATCTATGAAAAAACAATGCATAGTATAAAATTGCTAAGACATTTTGTACAAATATTTAATTGGGTAATGTTACACCATCCCTTATTTCTAAAAACATACTTGTAACTTCACTTGTTGGTGACGTGGTGTTTGGAGGTGTTTCAGCTATTGGTGTTTCTTTTTATGGCCATAACATAGTAAAACACAGTAAATAGTTATTCAGTAAAACATAATTTACATTACAATGTGTAAAGACCATTTTATAATTATGCATTTTAAACTGAAAAGTGAAATTGTCCAACTGAAGAAAAATTACTGACAAAATTTAATAGCATGTTTAGATTGTTGAATTGTTAATAGCCTGCAAAGACAATTCAACAAAACCACATGATTCAAGCTCATATTTCTTACTCTAAACATTTACTAAATGTTACTGCAAAGGTGTGTCACATAAACTTAACCTAATACTAAATGCCTTGGTAAAAAAAAAAAGGAAAGGAAGACCATCATTAAAAGTCATTGTAATTGTAGGTGTAGTGGTGTTGAGATGTGTTGTCACAATACTGTAGTTATTGTGTATGTTATCATCATGTATTATTGCAGACAATGAAAGACCAAAATATTCAAGCCCAGAACAATTACTTTCTTTCTAAATTTACTGTTTAAAACATATATGTCCATCGTGAGCCGTTGGTGTAGCTGTGGCTGTTGCAGTATTCAAATATGTTGACAGTTGAATGTTTTCTGACACCAACTCTGTAGGTCTTGCTGTAGTTTGAATTAGTGTTTAGATGTACTGTTATTGTAGACGATGTGTCTAAAATGTGATTTTAATATCATTAAACAAAAATATAATTCAAGAAAGAATTTTACTTAATTAACTCATACCCTTATTTTAAAAACCTTATTTGCTGTAAATGTTGTTGGTGTTGAAGAAAAGTTTAATTTCATAGATCATTTAAACATTTAAATTTAAACATTAAGTAGTTAAAAAATCTTAACCACAGGAGTGTTACCCATCTCTTATTTCTACAAACATACTGGTAACGACAGTTGTTGGTAAAGGTGTGGCTATTTTGTTGTATCAATAGTTGTTCAAAATGTTGTTGTTCATAATGTGTTAGTGACAATAGAATCCGTATTATTTAAGGATATGACTTACGTTATTTTGCAGCATGTTTACTACACAAGTCTGTCCCATAAATAACACTTAAAAACTAACTGCTGTATTAGAACTAGGAAGAGCAATTTAATAATATTTTATAAGAATTTGAAGGTTATTGTTGTTGGTTTTGTTACAGCTTTTGTAGTGTGCATATTTGTTGTATTAACAGGTTTTGAATATGAAAGGACGATTTTGGGGTGTTGTTGTGTTCAGGACTTTTCTTTTTCTTCTGTTCACTCACTTCGTATGTATTTAATTGATAAATATATTCTCTTAACATGTCCATTTTTGAAAGTATTCTTACTTGACAACATATTTTCCACACTTGCATAAAACCTTTGCACAGTACTGTATGTGATTATTACAACATACCTGTTATGACAGTAGGGGTTGATAAGACTGCAGTAGTGTTTTGTGTTGTTGCAACAGTTGTGGTCTCTGTGATTTAAGAAAACAGTAACACTTAAACTGCTGAAATACTAAAAAATGACAGCAACAAAGACTGCAAAGCCTTGTGCATTTTAATTGTCATAGCTTAGATCACATATCATAAGCTCAATGAATCAGAGTGTGTAAGTTGAGTAAAAATAGCTATAACCAAAAACTTTGTGGTATTTTCAATTACTTTAGTTTGGAATAAATACGTAACAAATAATGCAAGTCTGAAAATACATTAGTATTTCATACCATCTGAAGGAGCTGGGCAAATCAAGAGATCTGTTTGGAAAAAATAAAATAAATAAACAGCAAGTGGACATATCTTCAATATAACTGAGGCATAAAAGTGATTCATAGGAGGCTCTTACCTGACAGTGTCTGGCAATAAACCCCATCTGGAGGAATGGCATTGATGCATCCACAAGTGTTGTCCAATATATCATCACATTTGCCAAAAGTAGAGCACATATGACAAGGCCAACGGTACTGTTCTTCACATCTGCATTGGAATGTTGTACCACTTGGGTAACAAACTACATAGAAAATCATTATGAAACAAAACCATTAGCACAGGAAATGTAAGATTGTTGACATACTTTGCAATGATTTCCATTACATGTTTATTCATTCTTAGATTACCTGTAGAAATGCTGACATCAGAGATCTGTATGTGGTTGTTGATGCTGACGGGGTAACCGATGTTGCTCAGAATGGTCCTCAGTTGATTTACTTCTGTCACATCTGAGATGTTCAACTCAACAGAAATGAGGTATTCATAAACAATGGGTGGACCTATTGGGAGATTTTAAAAGAAATAATGTATAATTTAATAAGTAGATGTTTGATCTGAAGTCTCTATTTCAGTATAATTCTTTGTTGCTGATTTATTTAGCACTGTCTTAGTCTGAGTCTTACTTGTTGGTGAAGGAGAGGGTGTTGTCACAGGACAAGCTGTAAAGTCTGGAAGGAGGACAAGAGAAAAGTATCATAGCACTGACACTTCTACCATTGTCTGCTTATTTCCACATGATTATTTCAAAACTTGCTTACTGTACTGATCAACAGACTGGCAATAAACCCCATCTGGAGGAATGGCATTGATGCATCCACAAGTGTTGTCCAATATATCATCACATTTGCCAAAAGTAGAACACATATGACAAGGCCAACGGTACTGTTCTTCACATCTGCATTGGAATGTTGTACCACTTGGGTAACAAACTACATAGAAAATCATTATGAAACAAAACCATTAGCACAGGAAATGTAAGATTGTTGACATACTTTGCAATGATTTCCATTACATGTTTATTCATTCTTAGATTACCTGTAGAAATGCTGACATCAGAGATCTGTATGTGGTTGTTGATGCTGACGGGGTAACCGATGTTGCTCAGAATGGTCCTCAGTTGATTTACTTCTGTCACATCTGAGATGTTCAACTCAACAGAAATGAGGTATTCATAAACAATGGGTGGACCTAATGGGAGATTTTAAAAGAAATAATGTATAATTTAATAAGTAGATGTTTGATCTGAAGTCTCTATTTCAGTATAATTCTTTGTTGCTGATTTATTTAGCACTGTCTTAGTCTGAGTCTTACTTGTTGGTGAAGGAGAGGGTGTTGTCACAGGACAAGCTGTAAAGTCTGGAAGGAGGACAAGAGAAAAGTATCATAGCACTGACACTTCTACCATTGTCTGCTTATTTCCACATGATTATTTCAAAACTTGCTTACTGTACTGATCAACAGACTGGCAATAAACCCCATCTGGAGGAATGGCATTGATGCATCCACAAGTGTTGTCCAATATATCATCACATTTGCCAAAAGTAGAGCACATATGACAAGGCCAACGGTACTGTTCTTCACATCTGCATTGGAATGTTGTACCACTTGGGTAACAAACTACATAGAAAATCATTATGAAACAAAACCATTAGCACAGGAAATGTAAGATTGTTGACATACTTTGCAATGATTTCCATTACATGTTTATTCATTCTTAGATTACCTGTAGAAATGCTGACATCAGAGATCTGTATGTGGTTGTTGATGCTGACGGGGTAACCGATGTTGCTCAGAATGGTCCTCAGTTGATTTACTTCTGTCACATCTGAGATGTTCAACTCAACAGAAATGAGGTATTCATAAACAATGGGTGGACCTAATGGGAGATTTTAAAAGAAATAATGTATAATTTAATAAGTAGATGTTTGATCTGAAGTCTCTATTTCAGTATAATTCTTTGTTGCTGATTTATTTAGCACTGTCTTAGTCTGAGTCTTACTTGTTGGTGAAGGAGAGGGTGTTGTCACAGGACAAGCTGTAAAGTCTGGAAGGAGGACAAGAGAAAAGTATCATAGCACTGACACTTCTACCATTGTCTGCTTATTTCCACATGATTATTTCAAAACTTGCTTACTGTATTGATCAACAGACTGGCAATAAACCCCATCTGGAGGAATGGCATTGATGCATCCACAAGTGTTGTCCAATATATCATCACATTTGCCAAAAGTAGAGCACATATGACAAGGCCAACGGTACTGTTCTTCACATCTGCATTGGAATATTGTACCACTTGGGTAACAAACTACATAGAAAATCATTATGAAACAAAACCATTAGCACAGGAAATGTAAGATTGTTGACATACTTTGCAATGATTTCCATTACATGCTGATTCATTCTTAGATTACCTGTAGAAATGCTGACATCAGAGATCTGTATGTGGTTGTTGATGCTGACGGGGTAAGTGATGCTGCTCAGAATGGTCCTCAGTTGATTTACTTCTGTCACATCTGAGATGTTCAACTCAACAGAAATGAGGTATTCATAAACAATGGGTGGACCTAATGGGAGATTTTAAAAGAAATAATGTATAATTTAATAAGTAGATGTTTGATCTGAAGTCTCTATTTCAGTATAATTCTTTGTTGTTGATTTATTTAGCACTGTCTTAGTCTGAGTCTTACTTGTTGGTGAAGGAGAGGGTGTTGTCACAGGACAAGCTGTAAAGTCTGGAAGGAGGACAAGAGAAAAGTATCATAGCACTGACACTTCTACCATTGTCTGCTTATTTCCACATGATTATTTCAAAACTTGCTTACTGTACTGATCAACAGACTGGCAATAAACCCCATCTGGAGGAATGGCATTGATGCATCCACAAGTGTTGTCCAATATATCATCACATTTGCCAAAAGTAGAGCACATATGACAAGGCCAACGGTACTGTTCTTCACATCTGCATTGGAATGTTGTACCACTTGGGTAACAAACTACATAGAAAATCATTATGAAACAAAACCATTAGCACAGGAAATGTAAGATTGTTGACATACTTTGCAATGATTTCCATTACATGTTTATTCATTCTTAGATTACCTGTAGAAATGCTGACATCAGAGATCTGTATGTGGTTGTTGATGCTGACGGGGTAAGTGATGCTGCTCAGAATGGTCCTCAGTTGATTTACTTCTGTCACATCTGAGATGTTCAACTCAACAGAAATGAGGTATTCATAAACAATTGGAGGGGCTGCAGAGGCAGAAAATAATTGAGTATTCAATAATTTTGTTGAGAGAAGTGTAATAGAAATCAAATTAATGTAAACAAAATTAAAAATTTTGTTCATGTTCATGTCGATATTTATTTTCTGATGAAAACCAGCAGCGTTATTTTCACTTTACCTGTTGGTGAAGTTGTTGTTGTTGAAGGACACACTGAAAAGTCTGTATACAGAAACAAACATTTCTTCGGTGAAAAGGTGTCAGTATAGGCATGAGGTTAAAATAAAAATAACAAATACACGTGAGCACTTGCTTAAATAAAATAACTGAAAAATAAGAACATAGCAAAGGAGAGTCACACACTAAATGTTGCTTTCAAAATTAAGTTATTTGGGCATTAAAACAGGGATTAGTGTGTGACCATAGGACTCACTTTGATGATTTATTGATTGACAATACTGTCCATCTGTAGGAATAGCTTTGATGCACCCACATGTGTTGGTTTTATCACCATAACATTTCCCATAGGTGGCACACTTGTCACAAGGCCAAAGGTAGTCATCCTCACAGTGGCAGAGGAACCCATGGCCATCTTGGCTGCAAACTTTAAAGAGAACACATTTTAGAAAGAGGTCAAATGTTTAATATAGTCACCATAACAAATGCTACTCTCCGAGGGCTTGCCTGTAGTGATCTCGACATCTGAGATGTTTATTTGCTTGCTGATTTGGACGGGGAATGGGATATTGTTCACGGTGTTTCTCAGTTGATCTGCGTCTGTAGTGTTCACTTCAATGAAAATCTGGTATTCATAAACAATTGGAGGTACTGTTGAAAAAGAGAGCGTAATTCGAAAGAAATTGTCACCATTGTCTTTCAAATCTGAGGTAATCTTCAGTAAAACAAATCGTTAAAATCATATTATTATTTATGTATAACTGTGTTATCATTAATTTGTCTAGTAATCACATTGCAGGACGGAATATTACATTCTCACCAGTAAATAGCATGTCAATTTTTGTAATGTTGATTGTGTTGCTGAGTCTAACAGGAAAACTAATGTTCTCCACAGTGTCCCTTAATTGTTCTATCAGTGCGATACCACTGACTGTGATCTCAACTTCAAGTATGTAAGAATGAAAACATAAGATTCAATTGAATTTTTTAAGTACAAAATTAATAATAAACTTTAAATACTGTAAGTGTCTTTCACCTTTCTTTGGCTGGCAGTATTGCCCCTGAGATGGAATACTGTTGATGCACCCACATGTGTCGTCATTGATTTCATCACAGGCTCCATATGTATTACAGTTCTGATATGACCAAACATACTGATCCTCACATCTGCACCGGAAGTTGGTACCATTTGGGTAGCACACTAAATAAACAAAACAAACAAACACAATTATTATCACTCATTGATAGGCCATCAATGTTTGGTCTCGGCTGTCACCGGGCAGAGCAGGGTCCCCTATGATGCCAGTGATGCAGGATTTTAAATTGTTCCTTGTTGAACTTTAACTTGTCTGTTGACAGACAGTGAACTTTGGAAGTATTTGGACAATGGTACATTTTCTGTTTCTGTTGTCTCTGTATGTTACTTTATACTTCTCTATACTTTATAATATTGAACCATATTTATCCAATAGACATAGTTACGTTACAGAGTAATCTTATAAAACACAACACATTCTTAACATTAAATCAGTGGTTCCCAATCTTTTTGGCTTGTGACCCCTTATAAAAAGCAGTGTATACATAGGGCCTCTTGTCATGTTTCATGCTATATGTTTAGACAGTTCCAGTTATTGTTAGCAGTTCCACCAAATAGACATTTCCCTTCCAAACTTCCAAGATGGATTCATTTAATCAACAAACAACATAGAAAGTGGAAAAGTATCAAATATTTCACAAAAAGCAGATTTTTATATCAGAACTTGTATCTTTTCTTTTTTCCTCTCCCAATAGTCATCTCATGAGCCCTCAGATTGATCTGTTGATTTATCTGGAACAGTAGTAATTGCGGCAATTTAAGTGATTGAGATTAAAGGAGAGAAAAATGTAGAACTGTGTGTTGTCAGAATATTAAAAGCGTGTTATATTATGTGTCCTTGTACCATTGTTCGCAAGCAGGGGCCGCAAATGTCCAAAAAATGACTTGTTTCAAAGTATTAAACTACTAATTAACTACAAACGGAAGCATTTCTATTCAAGAACAAAGAAAATCAGTACAAGACCTAAAGGACAACTAAATATTAAAGACTTGAAATAGCAGGTTTAAAGATTGTAGATTGTTAGATCAGGACTCATTGTAATTAACTTTAGAAATAAGTTTTCAGTCACCTGACAGACAACGGCACTGGTATAATTATCAAAGGGTCATTCTCTCCAAATAGACTTTGGTAGACAGATAAATGCCACCTTTACACAGCGTGACACTACAGTGGTAGTGACGATACTTTTCACTTAAAACATTAACATGACTATGAGCTCAGGGTTGTATCTTCACATGTCAGACAGAAACACCACTTTGTAACATTAACATGACGGTGATCTCAGGACTGTATGCAGTGCTTGAAGTGGGGAAAAAATAGGTGCCAGTACTCAGACCCACATATTACTGTGGTGTGTTCAGCAGCACATGGAGACTGTCCTGCAGAGGACCCGTGGGAAAATATTATCAGTAATCAATTATTGTAATAACCTATTTAATAGAGGACAATTCACAATACTTGAATTGTTGTGAATTCCATAGGGCCCTACTAAAACTACAGTGGAATAGAATAGAATTTTCTTTAATCACTTTTGAACTTAAAGATATTGATTCCTGTGATAACATCTATTTTAGTGGTGTAGTAAGCACTTTGCACTTGTTTGTACACAAACAGTCTAGTGGTGATGGGAGTCCAGAGAGCAGGTGCGCTTCAGCTGCTGTATCACACCCAAATATCTGGAGTTAAATCGTATGAAATTACACAGTAAACACTTGATTGTGCACTGATGCAAAGGAAACGACTGGCCAGAGGCATTCCCGTAAGAACCTGTAATATTATCTCTAACATGAGAATATTTTTCATGAAAGAAAAAAGTATTATACACAGAAAATCATCAAGAATTATTCTCTTTGTCAACTGTGGGAAAAACGGTATGGCACACTACAGTGGCACGGTGATCAGACCAGAAGAAGCTCCATTCTTACCTGTGGTAATGTCAATGTGTGTGACATTCACAGTGGGACCCAAGTCCAGGGAAAAGCTGCCGTTGATAAGGCGACTCCTAAGGTAGTCCAATGTCTTGACATCTGTAACATTCAGTTCTACATCTACTGTGTAGTCAACCTGAGCTAGCAGCGCTGTAGGAAAAATTCAACAGCATTTAGGGCCTTTTTTGGATTCAGGACATACCACTATAGAGAGATCACAGCACATATAATTAGACATGGTGCTGAGGGTAAAACTTCAATTTGTGTTTCCTAGGTGGGCTGTTCACACTGTATCACATGGAATTTCACATTTAAGGCCTAAAGGCTACTGTACAACCAGAATATAACAGTATTAGTCACTGCAATCTTCATTAAGGAAATTAAGGCGTCCTTTTTTTATTTATTTGCCTCTTTTCTGGTTAATTCTAGGAAGGTTACACTGAGGAAGGTGGTTGCATTCATATTCAGTTTTCTGATCAGGCTGCAAAATGCTCATCTACAGAAATGGAATTTATTGTTGGTTTGGACTCATCCAAATTCACTCAAAATATTTCTACGTTAGAAGATTTTGCAACAAATCAATAAAGAATGTGAGTCTCGTTTATTGAGTCCGTACAAAGACCAAAGTTAAAAATGTTTTATGGGGGATTTCACACTGCACTATTATTTGGTGGGGTGCAGTGACTTCAGGCTAGCTGTAACTCCTGGACTAGAAAACTCATGCTAAGCAAAGCTAATCTCCTGGCTTTAGCTTAATATTTAACGGACAGATACGAGAATGGTAAAGATCTTCTCATGTAACTCTCAGAGAGAAAGCAAATAAGTGTATTTACATTAAAGGTCACACTATTCATTTTCATACAATTTTCAACCATTTGAATTAATTGGACTTACCATCCCTTTTCTCCCTGGTGTGAGGTAGAAAGTGATCTTCTTCATAGTGCACCTGAGGCAAATAAAATGGTGTCAGGCTCAAATCATTGATTTGTGGCAGTAGTATTTTCTGTTCAGTATCATAAATACAGTGGACTTACTAGTAAAGCTGGACTTGAGAATTCAACAAAGTTCCCCGCTACCAAAATAATAAGAGTCAATAGGAGAAAGATGGTCAAGCCATTCTGAGATATTGCCATTCCTTTCAAGAAAGACAGAAAGACAGAAAAATAAGACATTATGTGGCGATTCCATCCAACTTGCAACTTGTTGCAACATGTATTGTTACAGAGACAATGGGTGTGGAACTTCTCATATTAGTCATAATTCTACAAGTGAACAGATGAAATCAAGCCAGTTATTAATACATTGAGGGTTGCTCAACTTACTTGCTTTCATTACAAGCAATGGATACTAATCGTTTACCAGCTTTCTTATTAAATTCCCAGTTCGGCTTTGGTCTTAGACAAATTTTAAGGCACAGCTCAGCTGGAAAATGCAAAACACTTTTTAGAGACACAAGGTTCTCACAGGACAGCAATGCTACAAAAAGATAAAACAAATAGTCAATGTGAATTAGAACAAAGAAATAGTCAATCCATCCATTCCATCAGAAGAAAGCTATGCTCTGTGCAATGAGAGGATTCTGTCAATATAGCAGAATCAATCCAATGATCATCTGACATACATAGATATGGCAATAATGGAAAGTGTATATATTGTGTAAATATTTCTGCTGGCTTTCAGTTAATGTAGCAAAATTCATGGCAAATGTAGTGAAGGTAAAAGTAGATTTCTGGCCCAAAAAATACTTAAAAGTCAAAGTACAGTTTTATAAAAGGAACTTGAAGAGTTGCTGTTGTAAGAAAAAAACTTTTTTACTCATTTGTGTTACTTGTAACAAGTTACTACCAGCCCCTGAATGTAGTGCAGTAGAAACTACAATATTTGCCTCTGAGATGTTGTGGAGTAAAAGTGTAAAATACAAATAGTAAATAGTAAACGTAATGGTAAAGTACTAGTTCGTTGAATCTGTACTGAAGTACAGTAGAGTAAATGTACACAGACATCAGCACAAACTGTTTCTACTTTTTAATCAATGTATTCTGACCTTGTCTTGTGGGTGTTTTTATCAACCCTCTTTTTTACCATTCCTCTTTTTACTTATGTATTGTGAGCCAAAGCCCCCCTCTGAACGAAAGGTCCATGACAGCCCTGATGAATTAGCGGCCCGCGGGCCACATCCGGCCCTGAAGCAACCTCCATGTGGCCCAGCACATAATCTAATATAGCCTATACAACAACAAAAGTACACTACATGTATAGTGTATGAAAGTATCTAAAGAGTGAGCTATTGTATATCGTTCCTTCTCATCTCTGTTGAGTTTCATATGCGCTTTACCGATCACCGCCAATCAAGGCTCAACACTTAGCCTACTGTCCAACCTGCAGCCTCTCCGCTCCTCTGTGTGTCTGCAGAGCACCTCGAGCGCGTGCAAACCCACGGAGCGAAGTCCGCCAGCTGATCAGTGGACATTACCGACATTGATGACTACTACGCCGGCTGAGACAAACCAGCTCCTCTCTACCAGCAGCAGCAGAGGGATGAGGAGGACAGGAGGGACTGAGCTGTTCATAATTTCTGAACTTCACACAGTATGTTGATGTCAGGAATATGATTTATTTGTTGTTGACATGTTAAATTTGTTTCCAGTGAGATATTAATGACTTTGCTGCTGTAAATCATGTTGCTGCTCTAGAAACAACATCATGATCATAGTAATATATCTTCTTGCGACGAAATTAAACTGAATAACAAAACTGAAAAACATTATTTTGTCCTTGTAATCCATGCTTTCACTGCATGGATAGCCTTTGGATATTGCTGGAAATAGTCCCCCTCCTTAAAGGGTAAATTATTATCATAACTATTAAATAACGCATTGCATTTAAACAGCGCTTTTCATACACAAAAAGCAATAACAGTAGCCTACTGGTCTAACAGGAATGGTTTCCTTGTATAATGTAATTTCATAAATATATCAATAAGTTACTGAAAAGATCCTATTACTGAAACAAATAACTGTAGGTAACTGAAACATACTAAAACATTACATTATATACTAAACAGGACATTTTGAAAGCTTGAACTTTGTCTTTGTCTCGTTTGTCCCGGATTGAATGGGCCCCTCTGACAAAACAACTGGCCCCAGTCTGGCCCCCTTAATAAAACTGGTCTAGAACCGCAACTGTTCCTTCTGGAAAATGAGTATCAGGATTATTAGGCTATATAAACACATCATATTTTGAGTTGGATAGCCTATGGCCTGGTGTTCAGGTCACATCTCTGCTATCATAAAATCAGTGTTGGGCAGTAGCGTTGCTACAAGTAGCGCTGTTACTAGTTTAAGTTAGTTACATTTCTCAGTAGCTTAGTGGCAGCGTCGCTATTTTCTGAATCAAATAGCTTTTCAGTAACGAAGCTCTTTTATTGGCCGAGTAGCTTCCACACACGCTACATTTTCTCAAGCGTTACTGAAGGATCAGTAAGTGACGCCACCGCCACACACGGACCTGTATGTGCAGCCGGCAGAAGTGCTTCCTGTGATGGTGACATCACATACTGATCCTTAGGCTGCGACTTTGCTGCAGGGGAATAAAGACGCTCGATAGAGTTCACTTTCTATTGTGATAGATAGAGATATCTCTATCTCTCTCTCTCTCTCTGGCCTAATGCCATGAATGTTTAGGTTGTTTAGATTGCAATGTTGCCAGAGCACTAATTCACATATAAACAATAAAAATAAATTAATTAATAATTAATAAACAATGAAATGACATTATGAAAACTAAAGAAAGAGGGAAAAAACAACCAAATACAAACTCAAAACACAAAATATGTTACATTGAAAATATGTCTTGCTTTTTGACAAAAGGTTTTCAAAGGAACAATTATTAAAATAACAAATAATTAAGTAAATTTATACAAACAATAATGGTTCACCGTTTGTTGCATGAGGAAAAACATTTAGCTGCAATGATATGGCAGTAAGTAGGAGAGTTTGTGTGTGTCTGATTTAGCTCTCTCTGCACACACACTCTGTTTGGAGCAGGTTTTTAGTCTTTCTTCTATTGCTACTGTGGAATGAAGTTGGTTCAATATAAACTAGGCCTATACTGTGTGTGTGTGTGTGTGTGTGTGTGTGTGTGTGTGTGTGTGTATAGTGTATGTGTATATATATATGTATATATATATATATATATATATATATATATATATATATATACATATATATATATATATATATATATATATATATATATATACATATATATATACCTAACTATAAAATATAAAAAAATTCAAAGTAGCTTCGATGTAACTAAGCTATTTTTGCCACGTTGCTGTAGCTTAGCTGGCTACATTTCACTGGGGAGTAGCTTCTGTGTAGTGAAGCTACATTTAATGTAAAGTAGCTAGTAGCTTAGCTCACTACATTTTCCAAGTAGCTTGCCCTACACTGCATAACATCCTGTGGTTGGTTTGTTTGCTTTCACACGACCAACGAACCGCACCAGTTTTAGGGCTGAAACGACTCATCGATTAAATCGATAAAAATAAAATCGAACGTTTCGACACAAATTCTTTGCATCGATGCTTCGTTTAATCCATTTAACTATATAACCATTAACAATGGGGCGGCTGCATGTTGAAGCATTTAAATGAAATCATGATTGATTGTTCAGTTGAAGGCTAGCCAAAGTAAGCCGCAGTCCTCGGCTGAAAATGTGCACATGTGCGTTTGTTGTTCTCCTGTTTGGGCTGTGAGTTGTAACCTCACCGTGTCGGGGAGCTGCCATTTTTAACTACCCTGCAGCTCTCTCTGTAGGTCAGACAATCCCTGCTACCTGCGAGTAATAATCCATCTTTTCAACCATATTCTTTGTCTTTATAATTGCCATTTTTATAATAACAAACAACAGTGTAATTTCAGATGACTTTGAAGTAGATAAACCCAAACACTCCTGGATAGATTTCCAGTTTGGATCTTCTCAGGGAAGACAAATTTTTTTGCTACAGTGCATGGTGCCAAAACAGACCTTGTCTTGAGTAAATGCATCATGCTGTTTCCCTTGTAGACAGTTTAGGGCTCATGCACCATCGGATTTAATGCTTACAGTAAAAGGCTTCAGAGACTGGAAACATGCCTTACAAAAGGATAAGGGACTAAACAGACACGCCTCTTCTAAGGACTATATTGTGTGTGAGAAACTTTGGAGAGAAAAATTAAGATAACTTATGTTCGGGTGGGGGCCATGCCTCAACCACACCTCTAATCACCTATCAAGCCTATCTAGACCTGTTCTGCTCGGCCTGCCCTCAATAGTCTCAGATTCTTGACCCAATCTCCCTTTCCCTTCTGTTCATCCATTCAGCTTCCCCCTCATCCCTAACTTGCTCGGATGAAAACACTTCTGAGACAGACGGAGTCTCCTCTGCCTGGTCTTCCGTACATCCTCCCAGACCAGCCTATCAGACAGCATCCTTCTTCCACCAATACCCTTCCCCTTTACGTCCATTACATCCATATAATCCATCCTGTATCATATATACATTTAGAATCTTCATTAAAACTTTAAATGGCACATCTTTTTGGCGTGGTCCTTGCTAGTCAAACAAATGCGCATTGAGACTAGTCAGGAAATCACAACGCTTGTGCATATGGATCAGCTGACTCGCAACAAATATTATGTGGGCTTTATCATTGACATTTTGGTATTTCTAGTCTTTGTAATGCATGGCGCAATCTGGCAGTTGATTATTCTTTCTTTTAAGAATTCTTGGACATTCTTATTTATGTTTGAGCACCCTTGAAAAAGAGGCATTGCCCCTATTATTCTCAAGAATGCATCTTACATAATCCATGACATTCAAAATGAAATAATTGAACTCATGAGCAAAACGTCGACAGTGCCTATTGTTGAGGAATTAGGCGACTCTTTTTACACAATCAAAATGGATGAAACCCGAGACCGTACTGGCAGTGAAACTATTTCCATTTGCCCTTGATTTTAACCTTCGTTGGATAACTATGACCTGGATGACTGAGAATCTTCATAGACATATTTCCATTATACTGCATTTTGTTGATGAAAGCTCCACCACAAAAGAGAGGCTACTGACAATCACCACAGCAGATGCAGTTGACACAAAAGGTCCCACACAGATACTTATTTCAGAACTAAGAAAAGCTGGCCTGAACACAGACCCAATACTCAGTCAAGTTTACGATTAGGCTTCTCTCAAAAACCAACTCCACTTAGTCATTGTTTATGCCATGTCCAGTGAGAGGGCTATTGAGGATTTATTCAGTATCTGTAATGTGCTGTACAAGTCCACAAGTAAGCCCACCGTTGTTGCCCAATATCAGGTGAACACACTGAAGCGTTGGACAGGACACCTGTGGAGGCAGCAGGGTTGCTGAGTACAATATTCTGGCCCAGCTTTAGATTTTAAGCCCTTATTAGGAGTTTTGGAGTGAGTGGGCTGAGCAGACAGAAGCTACTGACAGTCTCTTGACCTGACTACCATTAATGTATATTTTATAGAACTGGGACACACGTCCTCAGAGGGTATTAGACAAATATCATATACCAGATGTATTCAGTGAAAGCTTTGAGTCTGCTGTAATTTAACGTCTAGGGTAAAGAGGTTGTGTGCTCAGACAGGAACTGGTTTTAGGATCTAAATTGCAAACATGTAATCGGCAGGATGACTTTGATGAGATTTATTAAGCAAAGCAGAAAGAGTAACTTACAGATAAAGTCCAGGCACTCCACAAAAACAAAGGTAATCCAAACGAGTAACGAACCAAGTCCACGAACAGAAAGCAGTTATCACACTGTATGTAGGGATAACAGGTATAATATCCAAGGCAAACAGTGAAACATGAAAAGACAGGGAGACTAGCAGAGACACACGACGAGGTGAAAAAACAATCTGGCCAGGACTGAACAAATACAGAGGCAAACAAGCAGGGAGGGAACAAACAGATGAGATAATCAAGAGTTAACAGGAAACAAGCTATACACGAACAACAGATGCAGCAGACAAAAAAGAAACAGGGGGACTGACAGAAAAACCTACAAACCAAAATACCTGACAGGCAAGACGAAGATGAAATAGTTATACTATAGTAAGTAGTAATGCTTTGTTTTTATGTGATGAACAAATATATGAGACTCAAACCTCTCATTTTCTGTCTTTTGTTACAGATGCGGCTGATTGATCATAAAACTCCATTTGTTTGTTTGTTAGTTCACCACAGCGTGGCTATGGGTAATTGTGACGTTATTATTTTGCTGTGAGCACATTCTTTGGGTCGACTTGCACCACTTTAGTTCTTGAAGAGGAACCACAGAGAGAGATTATGCATCTGAATGTTGGCGGAAAAAAAGACATTATTTTGAAAAAGTAGATTTGTCAGTGTTTTTGAGGTCCTAACTTAAAATTTAAAATTTAATTTTTTTTTAATGTAATTTAAGTAAACGCAGTGTCATCACATCTTTGAAGCTGAAACCAGACACGATAACAATGAGAAACATTTCAAAAATACCTTTATTTTCCTCTCAGAGTGCTTAGTTTATATGTTAAAATCACAAAGATTTTCTTCTGGGGTAGATTATAAGTAACTGAGTGTCTAGCAGTGATTATAACCAAAATAACTACTTCATATTTTTGGCCCTACTCCAGCTGACATAATGACATAGTGTATTGCCTTACTGCTTCTATGTCTTCACTTTTCCGTCCAAGCTCACAGGATGTTTATTGTTAGGTGGTGAGAAACTTTACACTTACAAATGTGATTATTGCTGTGGTGTCCTGAAATAAATAAATTTAATACATATTTTAAATTCATGGTTTGCTGTGTTCAGTAGTCAGTAGTTCATGAATGTAGATGTCATGATGTATTTGTGTTTGGGTCACAGGGAGACACCAAATCTCTCTTTTAGGCCTCGAGCTGAGTTAAAAAAGCCAAACAATGGGAGGTCATTTTTCAAACAAATAGGTTTACAAGGTAAACTAAACTGTTCTTATTTTCTATTTAACTCTAAATGTCTTTTTATATTCCCCTATGTTGCGTTTATGTTTTATTTAAAGCAATTTGAATTGCTGTGTTGTTGAAATGTGCTATACAAATAACCTTGCCTTGCCTTGTCTATTGTATCAACATTCATACGTACACTTTGAAGTGCCCCAGGCAGAAGCACAACCATGGCAGTTAACAGCATTTACTAGAATCAGAATCAGTGTCAACATCTACACTGGATAACTCGCATTAGTTTTCCTAGAACTACATCTTCAGTAGAGCGTATAGTTCCAAATTAAGAACTGGAGGTGAGACCAGGTGACATTTCATTCACCTGTGGATCTTGGCTGGTGGCAGATACAGAGATCTGAAAAACTAGGCCAAATATAACAAAAACTATCAGCACAGCCAGAGAGTGAGAGCATTTTGTTATTTGGGTGAACCCATTAGACACAGACATCTGGCCCATTTGTGCTCCTGACTCATATCCAAGTTAAGTGTGACATAGATCTCCTAGATTGAGAAAAGAAACACAAACCTCTCATTGCTTTCCAGTATTCACACCTTTAATGGTGTGTCTTCTTCAAGGTAACCTTATCTGCACTAGACAAGAGGAGCTTCCACGCAGTGTTAACTGTGAGTCAAAACAATCAGGTACAGCAGAAGATTTATCTTGTTTATTTCAAGATGCCAGAATGGAGTCCAGTTCCATATTGGAAGTGGATGAGAGTTGTATGAAAATACTTTAAAATGTATCTAAGAAGAGTAAAACTAATCACAATTTAATGTGCTTGTTTGGACCAATAGTGCTGTAATTTAACAAGGCACAATTAAAGATGAATTTATAGGGAAAGACCATAGATACTATGGGATTGCAGAGAGATACAATTATGGACCAATAGGGATTTTCTTCAGATTTGGTGCCAGCTGTGCATTGCTGTAGCTATACAATGTTCACACTTACACTGAGCTGAGCTTTATTCAATACACAGCAATGCTGTGTAAGACATCCTGTGTTCAATGAGAATGACACCAGGCTCACATTCATTTTTTACAACATTGACCAACTGTATGCTGCCGTGGTGATCCAATCATTTTACTGCACTGTTTTTACACTAATTACTCATTCACTGAGGATAAACAAATCAGCCAAATATTGAAAAGGGAAGTATTTGGAATTTAAGTGTTTGGATTAAGATTAATGATTGAAATCAAGATTAATGATTGAAAAAAGCCTGGGAAAAACTGCCATCGTAATGATAAACAGAATCAAAGTCAAAGTCAACCTGCTGAAATATCAAACACAATAAATTAGTTTTTCAGAAACGTGTTGATCCCAGTGGACAAATAGATTTCCTTTTACCCACTTCAGTGTCAAGGAGTGTATGATTAGTATTGCCCTAGTCAGTCCACAAAAGCATTGGTAACAACGCTGAGACAATATTCAATAATTTCACAGAAAACACACAGCAGATACAGTACAGCCTATACAACAACGATGCAGATGTGTCAAAGCACACATAGTGACTATCAGGGAAAATCTGTTGCCTCAATTATTTCACACACTCAGAAATTTACAAAGCCATGCTTCGTTGCAAAGTCACCATTGTTAATTATTTCTGCATAATGAGAAAGAGGTCCCACTGCAAACAACCTGCTCCCTCAGTGAGCCCATTGCCAAAAAACACAACAACACTGAAAGAACTATTCAATAAAGTCCCAACAAATAAGCATTTTAAAAGACATGTAAATCAGTCAGGTTCCTAGTCATAGCTCTCTTTTCACCTCACCTTTTTTCTTCTGCTGTGACTGTCCCCTCTGGGTTTAGGAAACAAACTTCATTATGGAAGCCTGCACAGTGTAGAGACTGTCAACCCGTACGTGGAACTACGGGAAACATGCTGTTCAAAAAACTTCCTGAAATATAGTAAGGGGGACAAACTGTTGGCAGTGGCTCAACAGGTTTAATTATTCCCTCAGCTCCATTGTTTGATTTTATCTGCTTTTTGTCTTCATACCTGTAGGTATGTGTGAAATAAACATAATAATCTCACAAGAAGGAAGATAGATACATGAATAGATTATCAAAGAAAATGTTTGTTTTCTTGTGGAATGGCAGAAGCAGCCATCTAGATTTGAATCAACTGTCAACTTTTTTACCAAAATACAGAAAGAACATTGTTAATTTAAAACCCTCTAAGTATCTAGGAATGATTAAGGTATAGCCAAACAATCACGAAATTGTACAATGACATCTAAATTAAGGCTGCTGGGAATAAAGCCAAGCTCCAACATTCAGTACCCTTGAGCAAGACTCTTAGCACTTAACAGTCAACAACAGACAGCACACCTTCCAAATCTCGACAAGCTGTGACTTAGAGGTCAAACGGGTCACCAACTACTCAGAGAGATCAGTAGGGGAGACCGGGTATGGTTGTAACATGGGGAGAGTTGTAACAACACCAGTTTCACCAATTAGAGATAAGATAGGAGTCAGGTGATCATTTCAGTATTTACCTACGTCCTCCCCGAGAAGGCATGGTGGTTATCAAGTCTGGAAACAGGTACATTCAAAATATGATATATAACATATAATATAAAACAGAGAAAACAATGATTTTGAGGTGTAATAAAGAAATATGAAGCCAATTTACTCAGTTAGCATTTTCCAGGTGAAGTGATGTGGCCTTCCAATCAATCACCTCATTTTAGATTATAACATTATAACAGTTTATTTTGAATGTGAAGTTTCAGATGCAAATCACTTTACAAACTGGAAGATGAAAAATGGGTGCCTGTTATCTGTAACTGGCTGCAAATTCAGTTCAAGAGCAATATAATATGATCGTGGCTATGGTTGTGGCTTCTGCTATGTGGAAGGACCTCTAACCACTAAATCATACCCTATTGTGTTTGGTCAGTCACAGCAACAAACTCCATAGCTGCAGTAACACTGTACACAGTGGCATTAATAGGAAAATGGCAGGTTTCACAGCTATTTGTGGAATAATCTTACAACTAAAAACCCACATAACCCCACATCTGCATCTCATGTTGGTGATGTCTGAAAACTATAGCTGAAACCTATGGGTGAAATGGGTAAAAAGGCTTATGAGGTTAGTTACACTCCCTAGACACTGCAAAAGGCCAAAACAAACTCAACATGGCCATCAGAGGAAAATCATACAAACATTACAATAATTTCAATACTTAGGGCCAATACTAATGACTATAAAGATTAGATTTCTCTTAACTTTAACACATGCGATGGCAAACTCAATAAATCTTCCTCTAAAAACCAAAAGAGGCACTCGTATATTGTCCTATTTCAGTCATATATTAAATAATTCAATTTCAATTCAATTTTATTTATATAGCGCCAAATCACAACAACAGTTATCTCACAGCGCTTTTCATAAAAGAGCAGGTCTAGACCGTACTCTATGATGCTATTTACAGAAGCCCAACAGTTCCCACCAAGAGCAGCACTAGGCGACAGAGGCAAGGAAAAACTTCCTTTTAAGAGGCAGAAACCTCGAGCAGAACCATGGCTCAGGGTGGGCGGCCATCTGCCTCGACCGGTTGGGGTGAAGGAGAGAGAGGAGAGAGAGAGAGAGAGAGAGAGAGAGAGAGAGAGAGAGAGAGAGAGAGAGAGGGGAGGGGGGAGGCAGCCTACACAATATACACATACAGACAGTAAAGGTGATGTTGCTATAGACTAAATGAAAAATAGTACAGATATTTATAGTAGTGTTGATGATAATAATCGTAATGTTAATGATTATAATAACAATAGGACTAGTAACAATAGTTGTAGCAGAGGGTGTCGAGCAGGAAAACATGCTGCAGCATTCTGGATCAGCTGAAGAGTCTTAATGGACTTTTTCGAGCAGCCTGATAATAAGGAATTGCAGTAATCCAGCCTAGAAGTAACAAATGCATGGACTACTTTTTATGCATAATTTTTAGACAGGATGTTCCTGATTTTCGCAATATTACGTAGGCGAACAAAGGCGGTCCTTGAAATTTGCTTAATGTGAGACTTAAACGACATGTCCTGATCAAAGATAACTCCAAGATTCCTCACAGTGGTGCTGGAGGAATGCCATCAAGGGAAACTATAAAGAATAATTCCCATTCATTTAAAGGGTAAATACTGTGAATTGATTAACTTGATTAAAAACCATTTTATCAGCCTCTATTAGCCACAAAAATACTAGTAAGTCACAACCAGGTAATCCAAATATTTAACATTGAATAATATTTAAATAAAAAACAGTGAGTCCTCTTTTCTCCGTTCACTACATTACACTATAGCTGACGCTTTTATCCAAAGCAACTTACAATTGCTATATGTCTGAAGTCGCACACCTCTGGAGCAACTAGGGGTTAAGTGTCTTTCTGAGGCACACATTGGTGGATGTGTCACGGTGGGAATCAAACCCAGGTCTCCCACACCAAAGGCATGTGTCTTACCTGGTGCTTTAAACCATGACATCCAAAAGTTAATCATTGCTGCTGCAGAAAGCATTCTTAACTTCTCAAAAGCACACTACATTTAAAACCTGAACAGTAACTTATACTAAACAGTAACTTATTAAGGAAAATGTAATTGTAAAGTCTTCTAAATTCTATTGAGATGAATCTTATATTGTAGGACTGCTTACAACATTCTCAAGCAGTAGTTCAACATTAATTATCATCTATGATCCAAGACTTACTTACATTAGAATATGAGGACTCTTACCAAACTGAATAATCTGAATAACTGTATATTTCTGATCAGGGAAAATGTCAATAGTTTTTGTGTTCAAAGTTTGCTTAACCATAATTTTAGTAATCATTTTAAACACTTTCTTTAATAACATAATATCAGGCGCCTATCATCAATTTTACTATTCTGAGGCTTTTTACATAAAACAGAAGAGAAGGTGAGAAGATGATGAGCAAGCAAAAATGAACAAAATTGAAGGGCAGCCCGACCAGACCAACTAACAAAGAGTTGTAGGATCTGGGTTTTCCCCTCTAACCTGAGCCAAACTTTGAACTAAACAGAACTAAGAACTAAAGTGAAACTGAAAACTGGACTACCAAGGTTGGACTACCTTGGCTGATAGCTTGGCAAGCGATGCTCTGTAACCTCTTTCAGTGTCCTTAATGTGGAGTTCACATGCTTACTCAGAAGCCTATATCAGGTCAACAAGCTCAAAAGGGCCCCCCCTACCTCTGAGGCCGGTTTTGTAGAAATAAAACTGACTATCAGATGGATAGTGGTGAACACAAATCTACCACTGTTTCTAATCTTAGAATTATGAGGCACTGAGATTAGAATTATCCTCCATCAATATTTGATTCGCGCAGTGCTTCCAGATCAAAGTGCCAATCTCTAGGTGTATCTCTAGGTATCAGAAACCCTTGTTCTATAACAATTCCAAGTCAACAGTATTTTATACAAAAGGGCCTAATAAACTCCAAGAAAAACAGTTACAATTTAACAAAAGTGTAAATTGGGAATTTTCTCTGATGCTTGCAAAGCTAACAATTACTCAGTGACAGAAACGGAAAGTAAAAAACAACAAAGGAACACAAAGGGATGGTGTTTCTGTGTGTGACAGCCTGTACTGTGGGCTCCAAACCACAAGGTAAAATTGGTGAGACCGACGATTAAGAACAAATGCTACTGTGTTTGTCCAAAAGTTGCAGGGTTACATTCAACCAGAGCTATATCAGAGATTCTGGTAAGAGAAAATGACTACAGATTAACACACACACACAAACAATTATTAATCAGAAGCTCCAAATACACCGTCACGTTCCTTCGGATGGTAAGTCCAGGGGAGGAGGAGCAACAATTTTTGAAATAAAACCGGGCAAAAGAGGACAGTAAGTCAGGGTTATGTGCAAACTTAAGTGTATTTATTCAATATTGACAAAGGAAAACCAACTCAAAACTACTCTCTCAAAAGGAGACAGCGAGCCAACAAGGTAAGGCAACAATAAACACAGGTTAAGTAACTGAGGGAGCAAGGTTCAACACTAAATGAACCGCTGAAAAGTCCTCTCTCCACTGAGGAGGTTAAAACCAGACACTGTTCTGGACTCACAGAAGATCTAAGCTGGTGTTCAACCCACTGGTTGAATGTGCTGCCTCTGTCTGCTGGGCTGACGGTGGTCTGCTCACGGGTGTTGGTCTGCAGTGTGATCACAACAGGTAGAAAGTGAAACAGACCGCCTGCGGTGGAAAAACCCATGCCTTCTTATCCTCCAGGCACATCAGGCACACCTGCTGCAACTCACTCATGCAGCTGAGGCATGGGGGGGAAGGGCCACTACCTGAGAAGGATCAAGGAACACACCCCAACCCAAACAAATGACCCTTAGGGTTGTAACATACACCATCAGAAATTCATAGTTGGAATAAGTAGAATAAGATATTACCCGATACAGCCTTCAATACAACCTCTATGAATGGAGTTACAGCAATATTTTACAAAGGTGGCAACTAAAGAAATAATAAATATATTGCCAACCCACACTGCAACTAAATTAGACAATTTCATTTGTGTATTTATTTACTTATTTTGGCTAGCTCAAAGAAGATACTAATTTCTGTTTGACCTCAGACCTCAGAGTCAGACCTGGACTGAAAAGAAAATTGAGCATAGCCTTAGTTCAAAGCAGCCCAGTTTACAATCCCAGCACATCAGCTGATAGCCGTCAGCCCACTTGATGACAGCTCAGCTGATTCCCCTCTTACCATTCATTGGCAAAA